CTCTGTGTCTTTATATAGAGAATAACTGTTAGCTTATATATTAATGTTATAAATCTCATTTATAACCTTTTAAACGACTAAAACTGACTCTGAGTAAAATATGATAACAAACAGAAATGACGTCATTGAATCCTCCATAAACGCTGCGTTGTGACCTCACCTGCCATTCGTCATAAAACTAAACTGTCAGCGGCTCTTTGCTTTTCTCTCGACTGTGAAACTATCATGGACATAAATCTTGTGTCGCTGAGCAGCTTAGACTCTGCAGTGACACTGATAACGTTATCCAGCACGCCGAGAGCTCGCTGTATCATACAGCAGCCGCAGCAAAGCATCATGGTATATATTCTTTGTGTAAATGTCCACATAAAGACGGCTTCTGTGCAGCTGAAACACAGAGAGTCTTGTTGTTCTGGCCTTTGTCTGTTGTGACTGAAGCAGTGTGGGAGACAGTTAACCTGTAGTTAGCCTCACAGCATGAATGTCGCTGCACCAGAGTTAACTTGGTAAAAAACACTGAATTTAAAACTTGCACTCTGATACCTACAAATAAATGTAATTTAAGGATAATTCTGGTGATATTCTGTATTTTCTTTCATGTCGAGACTCAAACCAACAACATCTACTAACAAGTACTGTGTGTGTATGAAAGTCTCATATCTTCTTCCTCTGTGCCACAGAGCTTAAAAACAACAAGTTCCTTCATCACCATGACCCCACACTGTAGTTTATTTACACAGCTCCCTGCTGCGGATTCATCCACCGCTGCAAATAGTCCCTAACTGCCGCACTATTTCCTCCTGTCTGATAAAAGCTACAGTGAGCGGCTGGTTTAGGGAATTACTGAACCTTTTTTTAAACATGAAACTATATATTTGTGATGTGTATTTAAATATTTACAGCAGGAACCACATAAAACAAACAAAACTGTAAGGAATATATCATAACCTCTGACCTAACAGACAGCTTCTTGTCTGTTAGCATGTTGGACTTTAACTCCACTGTAATCATCCGGTCATAAACAACCGTGAAGCGTATCCATCCTGCAGCGTTCTCAGGCTGTACTCAGTACTCAGCAGCTTCCTGTTTCTTACAGATTTACAGACAAACACTGTACGTATCGCTGCTATTTGACCCAGAGCCCAATCCGGCTCCCTGACATTTACTCTATGTGCTTAGCATGTTGTACTGTTCCTTCTTCTAAAGTTACAGCTGCTCGGCCTCCGCCTCCAACCTGCAGCCTGAAAAAGCAACCGAACATAGAGCTTCATTACAAACACAAATGAATGCATTAAACTGTTGAAGTCTTTTGTTATTCTAATGCAGGAATATGAGGACACCAGTGTTGTTCATGCATGGGATGAAAAATGTGCTGATTTAGGTGAATATTGTAAAAGTGGGGGATGAAGAAGTTGCTCTAAGGATGCATACACATTTGGTAGAATTAGTGAAATTAGTACTGAGCTTCAATCAGACTGTGAAACATCCTCATTCTTTGTAAATCGTCAGGTTGCTCGTGGCGATGCAGCCGTCCATATATGGAAATGTGAGTGTGCACACATTAATACAGGTTAGAGGGAGGAAAGATTGAGAGCAGCTGTTCTCCGTCCAGTACAGCGGTACTACTTCGCTC